CAGTCTGGGTGACAGAGTGAGATTCCAACTCAAAAAAAAAAAAGAAAGAAAGAAAGAAAAAATTAGAGATTTCTAGAGGATGGAAATTTATATACTCTTCCCCAACCCGAGAAACAAAAGAGAGAAGCTTATCTGTTACCATGATAGACTAGGCCAGGAATTTTGTGAGTAGTTGATAGATATCATTCATCCATCCATCTTCTTTTTTTTTTTTGAGTTGGAGTCTTACTCCGTTGCCCAGGCTGGAGTGTGGTGGCATACTCACAGCCACCCCAGTGTTGACCTGCCAATCTCAAGCGATCCTTCCACCTCAGCCTTCTAAGTAGCCAGAACTACAGATGCATGCTATCACACCTGGCTCATTTTTTAATATATTGTAGAGACGAGGTCTCACCAAGTTGCCCAGGCTGGTCTCAAAACCCTGGGCTCCGGCAATCCTCTCACCTCAGCCTCCCAAAGTGCTGGGATTATAAGCTTGAGCCACCATGCCCAACTCATCCATCTTTTGTCCATCTCCCCTTTTAGGTCTACATGCTACATGTTTGGTGTGTTCAGGAATGTTAGATATTTGCTTCCTTTTACTGGGTCTCATTTTCATATGTAGATTTAACATCAGGAATTATCGTAATATCATTTTGTCATGTCATTTCTGAATAGACAAAATTTCTCTTTAACAAATCTTGTAGCATTTTCTGCCACTCTTTCCTTTCTCAAAGACTTTTTAAAAAAAATCTTTTCAACTTCAACTTGTTTCAGGATTTTGCGACCATGCTCCATGTACAAATAACATTTTAAAATTTTCTTTATAAGTCAGAGGAGCACAAATTAAAGGGCTTGTTTATGTAAGGATTCTTTTTTTTTTCTTCCTTAAGAGATGGAGTTGGCCAGGCACGATAGCTTAAACCTGTATTCCCAGCACTTTGGGAGGCCGAGGTGAGGAGATTACCCTGAGCCCATGGGTTTGAGAACAGCTTGGGCAACTTGATGAGACCTCACCTCTACAATAAATCAAAAAATTAGTTGGGTGTGGTAGAGCATGCCTGTAGTTCTGGCTACTTGGAAGGCAGAAGCAGGATTGCCTGAGCCCAGCAGGTCGACACTGGAGTAGTTGTGAGCATGGCACTGCACTCCAGCCTGGGCAATGGAATGAGACTCTAACTCAAAAAAAAAAAAAGAGAGAGAGAGAGACAGAGTCAGTGACTCATTGATAGCTTACTGCAGCCTCAAATTCCTAGGCTCAAGCAATACTTCTGCCTCGGCCTCCCAAGTAGCTAGGACTACTAGTGTGCACCAGTGCACCTGGCTACATGTTTATTTTTTCTTTAGAGATGAGGTTTTGCTGTGTTGCCTAATCTGGTCTCAAACTTCTAGTTTTAAGTGATCCTCCTACCTCAGCCTCCTAAAGCACTGGGATTATAGGCTGCAAACTCAGCCTGATAGGATTCTTAACCAAAAGCTTATAGAGAACAGAGACAAGTGGACCTCACATCCCTATTACTCCTAGATGTAGAACATAGGTTTAGAACACGAGTATGATTTATGGATTATTTTGGAACAGTGTCTTTCCAGTGAATGTCTAACATAATCCTAATTTCTTAGACAATTTGACTATGTAAAGATTCAAACCTACTAACCTTAGAAGATAAAAGCTATTCACAGTTATCAGAATGTATAACTACACTGTCCAGAACTAATCAGTGCCAATATGACAGGCATCACAACTTACCAGTTTTCTTGTAGCACTTTCAAGTTGTCACATCATTGGTGAAAACTACCTCATCCATATAGCCACCTTCCCTCTTTACCACATTCTCTTTCCTCTAATACCTAAACAATATAACCTACAGATAGTAGTTGAGTAGCAGTTTTGAATTGGACATTTCCAGAAGTCCAAAGACATACCCGTGGAGATGAAGAGAGTCCTGATTAGGAAAAGAAAATTACGGATTTCTCAATCACTTTTCCAGTGTAATTTACATCCTAATATATTCTTCTTAGCTGATAGCACAGGCAATGTGAGAAACTCTTTATATGTTGCAATGATTTCTGACACCAAACACCTGAAGTTAGGCCAGACTTTACAAATTAAAGGCATAGTCCTCCACAAGCTGCCCTCAACACTGGCTGTAAATTTAAGGACTCCTAGATAATTTGGGTTCACTTTTGGCCAATTGTCTACAAATTTGAGGATTCCCATGATAATTTGTTAGAATAATTCACAGAACTCAGAAGGGTGCTGTCCTTAAAATTACAGTTTTATTATAACAGAATGAATACAAATTGGAACCAGCAAAAAGGAGAGATGCATAGGGCGAAATCTCTTGTCTTCCTTTTATAAGGACTCTTGTTAGTACTTTGGGCTAATCTGGATAACATCCAGGATAATATTTCTCATCTCAAGAGACTTAATTTTTTTTTTTTTTTTTTTTAATAGAGACGTTCTCACTGAGTTACCTAGGCTGGTCTTGAACTCCTGGCCTCAAGCAGTTCTCCTGCCTCAGCCTCCCAAAGTGCTGGGATTATAGACATGAGCCAACATGCCTGGCCAAGACATAATCTAATCACATCTGTGAAGTCACTTTTGCCATATGCATTAACATATTCACAGGTTCCCAGGGTTCAGGACATGTGCATGTTTGAGGGTCATTATTCAGCCTTCCATATCCAGAAATATGTACGTATCTGTTGACATTTTTTCAAAGTTTGTATTATTAAAAAGTAACTTTCCATGTAAGCAAATTAATTATTTGATTAAAGACTTGGTAACCCTCCCCCAAACATGTTAAGCCAAGATCTTTTATACATTTTTGACCATGACCCTCAATAAGTATATTTTACATTTTGATTGATCATAAATATGTGCCTATTTATGTGTATGTTTACAACTGAAACAAGTATTTCATATCGTGGTACTTTTACTGCTTGTAATACCCTTACCATGTTTTTATTGTTTCTTTTTTCTTTTCTTTCTCTTATTACAAGTTACAGACTTGGTTTCATGGTGCACTAACGCATCTCAATAATTTGAAAAATCATGTTACAGTGGGGATAAAGCAGTGAAGAAAACAAAGTGTATGTTTTTCATGACCACTATATTCTAGTGGGTCTAAAAAGACCAAAAATAATTGGGAAATATACAGTAAATAAAAAATAAGATTGGGCTGGGCATGGTGGCTCAGCCTGTAATCTCAGCATTTTGGGAGGCCGAGGCAAGTGGATTGCCTGAGCTCACAGGTTCGAGCCAACCCAGGAAACTTTGTGAGACCTCATGTCTACAATACATCAAAAATTAGCCAGGCGTGGTAGTGCGCGCTTGTTAGTTCCGGCTACTTGGAAGGCTGAGGCGGAAGGATCGCCTGAGCCCAGCAAGTTGACGCTGGGATGGCTGTGAGTGTGCCACTGCACTCCAACCTGGGTGACAGAGTGAGGCTCCAACTCAAAATAAAAATAAAAATAATACTATGTGGGGGAAAAATCAAGCAGGGTAAGGAAAATTGGAAGAATCAGGTATATGGGAGTAAGGTGAATTATTTTTATATCCACTGTTATGGGAGGCATTATCAATAGAGTAACATTTTAGCAGAGATCCGAAGGAGGGAGAGAACAAGCTAGCCTCCCTCCTTTCCAAGCTGCATATGTTAATACCTCTTTCCCTCTCTTCCTCTTCAGTTGGCTTTAAGAGTCTGCACTATGCTCTATTTCTTTTCTTTCCTAAGTTCTTTCTTAGTTGTACAATATTAGCTTTCCCTTTTCCACTTCTTGCGCAGAGATCTGGATTTTTACCAGGTTTTAGAATAATGCACGTTGTTAATCCAACTACTTCTTCAAATTTACTCTTAGAAGATAATTTCTATCAGGTCCTAAAATACTACCTTATGTCTATAGTATACTTTTCTAACCTAGTTAGGTGTTAGAATCCCACTTGTCATAAGCCTACTGAGGAAGAGGTAAGTGAGTTTTTCACTGATGTTCTTGTAGGTTGGAATGTGGATTGTCATTTACACTTAGTAGGTTAGAGTCTGTTGACCTCACGCTTTGCTTATACCTGCATGAAAAACATGATAAAAGGATAAATGATATTGTAAGGATAAAGTGAACCTTCCCCTGGTTTAGTAAGCCCCTCTCCCACGGCCTAAGTGTGGATTTCTGATATTTCTGAACAAAGCATTTACTTGTTCTTATTTCTGAATTTTTTTTTTTTAATATAGGAAACAAGAATCAACATGAGATGGAGACCCTTCGAAAATTTGCATTCAAATACTTTTCACATGAAGAGCTATCCTGCTGGCAAATCTGGAAACAGGTTGCAAGTGAATTAACCAGGTGTCTTCAGAGAAAGAGTTCTCAATTCCTGCAAGGTGACTCTGCTGAGGTTTCTGAAAAGGAGAACAATATAATGAATCATAAAGGAGATAGCTCTATTTATAATAAAAATCAAGAGTTTTCGATTTTAAGAGCCCGGGATTCTTGCAGGAATACATATCTGAGTGAGTCACAGAATCAGAGTAGTAGAGGTCAACAAATTGACATGAAAAATACCTTGCATATTTGTGAAGACTTCATGAAGAAATCACCATTGAGTGAGCATATTAAAACTGACACAAAACAGAAACCCTACAAATGTAACGAGTGTGGCAAAAGCATTAGTGATGATTTCAAACAGCAGTTACTCTTAGGAGAGAAACTCCATCCATGTGGTGAGGGTGGAAAGGGCTTCAGTTATAGCTTAGTACGTCCCCTCCATCAGAATGTTCACATAGGAGAAAAATGCTTCAATCAAAGCTCACATCTGCAAACTCATCAGAGAATTCACCAAGGAGAAGAACTCGATAGATGTCATGAATCTGGTGATTGCTTCAATAAGAGCTCTTTTCATTCTTATCAGTCTAATCATACAGGAGAGAAGTCCTATAGATGTGATAGTTGTGGCAAGGGATTCAGTAGCAGCACAGGTCTTATCATTCATTACAGGACTCATACTGGAGAAAAACCTTACAAATGCAAGGAATGTGGAAAATGCTTTAGTCAAAGTTCAAATTTTCAATGCCATCAGAGAGTTCACACTGAAGAAAAACCATACAAATGTGAAGAGTGTGGTAAGGGCTTCGGTTGGAGTGTTAATCTCCGTGTTCATCAGAGGGTCCATAGGGGTGAGAAACCTTATAAATGTGAGGAATGTGGTAAGGGCTTCACTCAGGCTGCACATTTTCACATACATCAGAGAGTCCACACTGGGGAGAAACCATACAAATGTGATGTGTGTGGTAAGGGCTTCAGTCACAATTCACCGTTAATATGCCATCGGAGAGTCCACACTGGAGAGAAGCCATACAAATGTGAGGCGTGTGGGAAAGGCTTTACACGGAATACAGATCTTCATATCCATTTCAGAGTTCACACAGGAGAGAAACCCTATAAATGTAAGGAGTGTGGGAAGGGCTTCAGTCAGGCTTCAAATCTTCAAGTCCATCAGAATGTCCACACTGGGGAGAAACGATTCAAATGTGAAACGTGTGGAAAGGGCTTCAGTCAGTCCTCAAAGCTTCAAACCCATCAGAGAGTCCACACTGGAGAGAAACCATACAAATGTGATGTGTGTGGTAAGGACTTCAGTTATAGTTCAAATCTTAAACTACACCAAGTAATTCACACTGGAGAAAAACCATATAAATGTGAGGAGTGTGGGAAGGGCTTCAGTTGGAGATCAAATCTTCATGCCCATCAGAGAGTTCACTCAGGAGAGAAACCCTATAAATGTGAGGAGTGTGATAAGAGCTTCAGTCAGGCCATAGATTTTCGGGTACATCAGAGGGTCCATACTGGAGAGAAACCATACAAATGTGGTGTATGTGGTAAGGGCTTCAGTCAGTCCTCTGGTCTTCAGTCCCATCAGAGAGTCCACACTGGGGAAAAGCCATACAAATGTGAAGTGTGTGGAAAGGGCTTTAGATACAGTTCACAGTTTATATACCATCAGAGAGGCCACACTGGAGAAAAACCTTACAAATGTGAGGAGTGTGGGAAAGGCTTTGGTAGGAGCTTGAATCTTCGCCATCATCAGAGGGTCCACACAGGAGAGAAGCCCCACATATGTGAGGAGTGTGGTAAGGCCTTCAGTCTCCCCTCAAATCTTCGAGTCCATCTGGGTGTTCACACCAGGGAAAAACTCTTTAAATGTGAAGAATGTGGTAAAAGCTTCAGTCAGAGTACACGTCTTCAAGCCCACCAGAGAGTCCACACTGGAGAAAAACCATACAAATGTGACATATGTGATAAAGACTTCCGTCACCGTTCACGTCTTACATATCATCAGAAAGTCCATAGTGGCAAAAAACTCTAGAAATGAGTGTATTATTGACTTTTGTCTCAATGTACATCTTCAAGTTTTTGGAGTCTATACTGGTGATAAGCCCAATGAGATATTGAAAGTGGAAGAGAATTTCTTCAGACTCAGAATCTTTCTAAAAAATTCATCAAAATGATGACATAGAACCGTAGTAACAGGAATAGAACCCGTATTTAGAGGAGGAATAAAGATATATGCCCCTCTTGGTAAGATCCAATTAATATAAATGATCATCTTTCAATGTGAATGTATGCCTGAAGATAATGTGTGAAAGGATATTTGCCATATGCCAATTAGTGTTCTGTTTTTGGTCAGGGAGGGTTTTGGATTCTTTTTCCTTTAACTTTTATACTTACAGTGACTTTACTAAAGCTGTAAAGCCATGAAAATTGATTAAAATTACTGACTAAAAAGTTCCTGTAGCTAAGAACTCATAATATGATTATTATGGCATATAGGGCTAAAATTAAGGAACAAATCTCTGGAGATGAATCTTTGATCTTCAAAAGTAAATATGTGCCCCAGATATATATAAAAGGATGCTCAATGTATCATTGTTTTAATAGCAAACATAGAAATAATCAGCTGGATTGCCAAAGTATTTTGTGGTTTACCAATTTGGTGGGACACTATGCAGACATCAAATGGGAAAAGGTAAATTTTTAGCTATGGACATTGAAAGACGTTAAGAAAAACCCAGCATATACCTACCCTAATCACATGATCCAAGTTAACCTCACCTATAATGGTACAAACATACCACATTTCCTTACATGATGCATCAAGGTCACATCACTCACAGAGTCCTCATGCTAAAAAAAAAAAATGCATAATTTAATCATGTGGAAATCTCAGGCAAACTCGAGAGACAGTCTACAAAATAGTCTTGAATATTTCAAGATAATTAAAAACAAATGTAGTCATCAGATTAAAGAGTTGAAATGGAATGTGTAATCCTTGACTGTGTTCTGGGACACAAAACTCGGGACAATTGATTAAATAAGGTCTGTGGGTTACATAGTGTTATGTTTCAATATTAAATTTTTCTGATGTAGTGTAGCTGTGTAAGTAAATATCCCTGTTGTCCCATTTCTACACAGGCTTTTTCTGTAGTAAATGAGTAAAGGGGCATATTTTGTATTTTTTACTTTCTTGATTGCATTTCTGACCTTGTTGGTGTTGTTAATTTTCAAACCTTTCTTTCTGTTTGATGACTAAAAAATCAGTTCTGAAAATTAACTCAAATGTTGAAAGAATAAAGCCATATTTGAAGCTTAAGCCTAGCTAGCACTTGTGACGTAACTGAATATAGCTGCTTGTCAAACTGTATTTTTGCAATCCACTTGTGGAAGGGACCCTTTTTAGAAAGCTTGGAAGTTACTCCACAAAATCAGGTTTCTTTAAAAATATGCAGATTTTAGGGTAACCACCCATGTGAAAATTATAAGTTGCTAAGCCTTTTAGCAATTTAGACCCATATGTTTTCTCTTTAACTTTTCTAAGTGTTGAGTTATAATTGGCATACAATAAACTGTACATATATAAAGTATTCCATTTTTAAAGTTTTGACGTGTGCATTTTTTAAATTTTATTTATTTATTTATTTATTTAGAGTCTTACTCTGTTGCCCAGGCTGGAGTATAGCCTTAACCTTCTGGGCTTAGGCAATCCTTCAGACTCAGCTTTCCAAGTAGCTGGAACTACAGGCATGTACTACCACACCCGGCTAGTTTTTTAATTTACTGTGGAGACACATCTCACCCAGTTGCCCAGGCTGGTCTTGAACCCCTGGGCTCAGGCAATTCTCTCATCTCTGCCTCCCAAAATGCTGGGGTTACAGGTGTGAGCCACCACACCTGGCCTGTATGCATCTTTAAAACTTTCATTACGATCAATAACAGACTTATTCATCATCTCTACAGACACTTCATGTCCTCTTTTAATCTTTTTATCCTGCTTCTCTCTCATCCCCAAGTGACCACTGATCTCTGTCACTATAGATTAGTTTGCATTTTCTAGAATTCTAACAAATGAAACCATATAGTATATACTCTTCTTTTCCCCTAACTTCTTGCAGAAAGAAATTTCTCTGTTCCTCACTGCTGAGTAGTATTGCAATTGTATGGCTCTATTACAATTTTAAAGACTGTTCACCTGTTGATGGGGATTTGGGTTGTTTTCAAGCTTTTGGCTACTACAAATAAACATTATGAACACTTATTTGTATACAAGTCTTTGTATGGTGATATATATATATAGTCTAGATATATTCCATACATACTTTATATATATTTATTTTGTATATATATTCTATTACATATGTATATATTTCTATACTATATATTTTTGTGTTGGATAAATAGCTTGGAATGGAATAGCTGGATCATATGTAAGTATGTATTTAACTTTCATTGTATTTTTGTATTTATCATAGTTGTACATATTTTGGGGGTACGTGTGGTATTTTGGTACACATACCATGTGTAATGAACAAATCAGGGTAATTGGAATATACATCGTATCAAACATTTTGTTTACCTTTTTTTTTTTTTTTTTTTTGAGTTGGAGTCTCACTCCGTCACCCAGACTGGAGTGCAGTGACCGCTCGCGGCCACCGCACCCTCAACCTGCTGGGCTCTGGCGATCCTTCCGCCTCAAACTGTCAAACTCTCCCAAAGTGGCTTTACAGTTTTACATTGCCACCACCAGTGTATGAGTTTCTGCCCCACTTCATCAACACTTGTAGTAGTCTGTCTTTAATTTTAGCCATCAGGTGTAGTAATATCTCATTGTACCTTTTAATTTGCATTTTCCTAAACACATGCTTTTCATGTGCTTAATTTTCTTCCTTTTACTTTTTTGAGTCAGAGTCTCACTCTGTTGCCCAGGCTGGAGTGCATTTGCACACTCACGGCCACCATAGCCTTGACCTGCTGGACCCCGGTGATCCTTTCACCTCAGCCTCCCAAGTAGTTGGAACTACAGGCATGTGTTATTACGTTCAGCTAATTTTTCCTGATTTATTATGGAGATGAGGTCTCGCCAGGTTGCCCAGGCTGGTCTTGAACCTGTGGGCTCAGGCAGTCCTTCACCTCGGCCTCCCAAAGTGCTGGGATTATAGGCACGAGCCACTGCACCCGGCCCCTTAATTTTCATTATCGTATCTTTGGTAAAGATCGTTCAAACACTTTGCCCATTTTTTATTGTATTATTTGTTTTCTTATTACTGAGTTTTGCCGGTGCTTTGTATATTCTTTTTTTGTTGTTTATTAAGAGTTCAGGATCTTGCTTTATTGCCCAGGCTGGAGTGCCGTGGCATGATCATAGTTCACTGCAGCCTTGACCTCAAGCGATCGTCTTGCTTCAGCCTTCCCAGTAGGTGAGACTACAGGCATGTGCCACCAAGCCCTGCTAATTAGTGTAGAGACAGGGTGTCACTATGTTGCCCAGGCTGGTCTGGAGCTCTTGGCCTCAAGTGATCCTCCTGCCTCAGCCTTCCAAAGTGCTGGGGTTACAGGAATGAGCTACTGTACCCAGACTCTATATTCTTGATACAAGTCCTTTATCAAGTATTTGATTTACAAAGTTTTTTACTCAGTTTGTGCTTAAGCAGAAGTTTTAAAATTATAAATTTCTCTTTTGTGTATTATGCTTTGATGTTATGCCTAAGAAATTTTTGCCTAATCCAAGGCCAGAAAAATTTTCTTCTATGTTTTCTTCTAGTTCTATAAGTTTATGTTTTGCATATAGGTAGGTAGGTATATGATCTATTAAAAATTTTTTTTTAATTTTTTATTTTAAAAATGTGGGGTACAGTCCAGGGTTAGGTATACAAATGTTCATTATGCAGGTACCCTTGTTGATGAGGTGTGTCCCCCCTTCCCTGGCAGTTTCCCTCAACTGCCAATCCCACCTCCCCTCCTCTGGAATTTTCCCACTACTGCCAGTTCCTTTCTTATAGTATGATAATTCAAGGTCCACTTATGAGTGAGAACATGTGGTATTCTGTTCTTTGTATCTGTGATACATCACTGAATATGATAGACTCTAAATCCATTCAAGTTGCTGTGAAGTCCATATGTTTGTCCCTCTTTATGGCTGCATAATATTCTATTATGTATATGTACCACATTTTTAAATGTATTATCCATTTTGAATAATATATGTGGAAGAAGATATGTGTTTAGGTTCATTTATAAATATGGATGTCCAGTTATTCCAACACTGTTCAAAAGACTATCCTTTCTTCACTGAACTGACTTTGCACCTTTGTCAAAAATCAATTGACTATATGTGAGTGGGCCCATTTCTGAATTTTTTTTTTTTGAGTTGGAGTCTCACTCCACTGCGCAGACTGGAGTGCAGTGGCATGCTCCCAGCCACCACAGCCTCAAACTGCTGGGCTCCCACAATCCTTCTGCCTCAGCCTTCCAAGTGGCTGGAACTACAGGCGCGCGCTACCACGCCTGGCTAATTTTTTTTTTTTTTTTTTTTTTTATTGTAGAGATGAGGTCTTACCACGTTGCTCAGGCGGGTCTCGAACCCGCGGGCTCAGGCAATCCACTCACCCCAGCCTCCTAAAGCGCAGGATTACAGGCTGAGCCACGGAGCCCGGCTTGAATTCTTTATTCTAGTCCATTGATCTTTATCTCTGTTATCTCACCAATACCGCTTGTTCTTGATTACTACCATAGCTGTATAGCTAGTTTCTAAATTAGGTAGCATGAATCCTCCCACTTTGCTTTTTCAAAATCGCTTTAGCTGTTCTAGTTCTTTTGCTTTTTCATGTAAATTGTAGAGTCATCTTGTTCATTCTTTTAAAGAATATCTGCAGGGCTTTTGATAGAAAGTATCACCTTAATGTGACATCTTAACTTTAGTCTTCTGGTTCATGGACATGGCATATCTCTGTCTTTTATTTCATCAGTGATTTTTGTTTTTCAGTTCACAGATACTGCCTATGTTTAGTTAGACTTAAAATGTTGCTGAAAATTTTGTTTGATTTTAAGTTTCTCCTTGTTCATTAGTAATATATATGCAACTTATTTATATTAACACTGTACACTATCATTGAACCCTAACACTTTTATAAACTCACTTATTAGTTCTGGTACTTTTTTCATAGGTTCTTTATGCATAATTATGTTGTTTACAAATGGAGGCAGTTATTTCTTCTTTTCCAATCTGATTTTTGTTGGTTTCCTTATTGTCTGGCCCTCCAGAAAGCTATTGAATAGAAATATTGTATATTTTCTTTTCAGAAGTGTGTGTTCATGTCCTTTGTCCACTTTTTGATAGGATTGTTTTATTCCTTTCCACTCGTTTGAGTACCTTGCAGATCCTGGATGTTAGACCTCTGTCAGATACACAGCAAATATTTTTCCCGTTCTGGGGTTGAATCTGAATATTTTGGGCAGACATTCTTGCCTTTTTCTTGATCTTAGGGGAAAACATTTAGTGTTTTATTAACTGTAGCTTTTTGTAGATGCCTTTGTGAAGTTGAGGAAAATACCTTCTATCCAAAGTTTGCTGCAAGTTTTTCATCATAAATGGATGTTGACTGTTCTCAAATGCCTTTCTTGTATCTACTAAGATAATTGAATTGTTTGTATTTATTAATATGGTGAATTGTATTTATTTCAAATGTTAGAATAATGTTGCCTTCCTGAGATAAACTCATTTGAATGTGATGTA